TACCCTTAGCTGTTGAGTGTTGCTGATGCAGAAACTCAGTGCCATGAACAATAATAGGCGTTTCCGTTGTTATCTCCCACTTTCTGATGCTTACTGTCGCCCACGGTTTCCTCCTACCACTTGATATCACCAAGTATCACCAAAAGCTGGCTACTCTAAAGGCACTAGGGCTAAATTTTTCATGACTGTCATTTGGAATTGCTCAGTTTGCGCCTCAGTTTGCGCAGCCCAGACTCCCTCTGTCATCAACTGCTGCTTGATGCCGACTCTCTTGGTCAGGTTTGTTTAACTTGGCCAATTTCGAGAATATTTTTCAAAAAGAACCAACCACATGGACCGATCACGACATCGGGAACACCGATGGGAGTGGCTGTTGTGGCTCCTGACATGACACTTGGACTAGTCAGATAGCAGCAACAATTCTGCTGTTGTTGAGAAGTAATTTTTTGAGGACCTTCAAAATGAGTGATCAGATTCTGCAAGAATACGGGGAATTTCACAGTACTCACAGGGAGCAGGGACCGGAACAGGCATTGGCATTGGCACGGGCATTGGCATCGGCATTGGCATCGGCACCGGCCTTGGAACCGGGCATGGTACTGGGCATGGCATTGGACATGGCACTGGACATGGTACTGGACAACCGACAGGAGGCTGGAAATGGAAAGATTCGTTGTGTTAAAGGCAAAAAGATTCTGCCACTGCATGATGATGTGTGATATCAGATGGAGCTTACAATTTTGGCGGAAGTCTAGAGGCTTAGAATCAATTCAACACTATTCGAAAACTTAGTAATCAAAAAAAATGAAATGTTGAATGATGGTTCGGGTAGGATTGTTCGGATAGAAAATCTAGTATGTATTTCTGAAGGTGGTCAATATTCCAGCTAGGACCTCTATCAATTCACAACTTAGCCATTTGCATCGATCTGAATGTGAATCAGAAGCAGGACCATCACGCTTCTTCAGGGAATTCGAGAAAAGCGAACAGCCTGTTTCTTCAGAGAATCGGTTCCAAAGAGCTAAGTGAAGTCCAATTAAGGCTGTCTAAGTAGCCCAGGTAGCGTGGAGCGGAACATTTGTATAAACTATTCCAGATTCGTTGAAAACCCATCCAACTCGTTCTCGAAAAGCCTTTATTTTGCCGCAGAAGGTAGGTTTTTTTGACTTTCCTGGCTAAAAATAATGAAAAATTCTACGAACTCAAAGTCAAAACGCTGTGGATGAGAGTTTCTTGAACAGTTTTGGATTAACCTATTGAATCTTCGCTGTTGACTGGGTAAGATGATTAGGAGACTGAGAGATCTCTCAGGGTCTTCACCAATGAACGTTCATCATATCTAGCACCTTTTGCTTATCCATTGACTTAAAGTTGGCCCAAATTGGACCTACATTACACCAACACCCAAACTTTCCTCCTCTTTCAGAAGCTGCTCGTGATTCCGTTAATGAATAAAACATAAAATTCATAATTATTTCAGAAAAAACTAACTATCAACAAGGCTCCAACGGACTGAATGCCAATGACGAAGATGACGATTGCATTACAGAAAACCCGCTCGAGAGTCATTGTTTGGATCGACGGAGGAGTCGCTGAAAGGAAGGTTTGTACGGAATATATCACATATGGCGAAGTACTACTAGTTAAAGGCAATCAACGATTTCGCTACTGTAAATATCCTTTTTCTGTAGATATGCATAGCAACCGCTTCGCACAAAAGAAACATCCCACTATTGAGTGAGAAAATCCCGCTATTGGCAGGAAGCCTGGCAGTGGCTGGTCGTGAAAATGTGAAAATGCTACATACTTCATGGCCGATGGAGTTTATATAGTCACAAGTGACCAAGGCGAGAAAAATGGGTTGTAGCTCACGCTAGAATGGTCAGTTTTTTCGTAGGTATGTCCAGGAGTAACGCAAACAACGTGCATCAAAGTGTCCGACGTGCAAATATTTCAAAAAAGAACTTGTTCTCCAACCAAACACGAAGAAATTGTTGTATGCTCCAGGAAGCTGTAAAAACAGCAAGGTAGTTTCGTCATTCTTTTCCCTATACGCTCTAGTAATTCACAAGGTTTGCAAGTTAAGGGTGAAATTTTGGCCTCTTACTGGACGGGAAAATTTTGGACGGGCTCTTGGACGGACCACCATGCACTTGTACCATCGGGGCAGCTTCTATCCCTCACACTACCGAATTCTGTTCTAGTAATTTTTGAATTCATAAAGTTGGAAGGACAAAACATTCCTGCCTCGGAATGCGCCCTCTCATCCCACTTCTATTCAGAATCTGTAGTAGCTGTTTGGGCGCATCTGTGGTTTATACATACAATAACTTGCTATGGCCAATACAGAACAGCACTTTCAACCTCTCAAGCTAGTCGAAGTCGGTTAACAGATCTCAGAAGATTTTTAGACTTCGTTAGCCTGGGCGAGTACTGACCCGATCCCCTGATCATTTCTGTGGGATAGCGCTCCACTTGGAGCTACACCACATCCAATCCTATGACCTGCCTGATTTTGAGAGATTTTCAGCTGTTTCGAGTCAATCATATCAAATCAACGAAGACAATATGCTCAGGTTTGCTTGAGAGAGATGCGAAATCTTAATCATGGGAGACCGGTAATGGTGACTATATACATCACGTATAGCATAGAATTCCTTGGAATTTTCTTTTATTCTCATTTGCGACAAGGGTTTGTTGTAAGCCTTTTATTTTTTGGATTGAACACAACGGCTTCTTGCAAAAATCCATGCAGCTTAGAGCACTGATAAAACCGACTGGTTC